TTTATTTATTTATTTATTTATTTTTTTTTTTTTTTTTGCTGAAGTGTGAATACCAGCTACAGCTGCAACACCCCTAAAAGAGTGGCCAGTCTTCTTATGCCTTGTGTGACGTCATCAAATGCATGTGCTCCTGGGAGCCTGTTTTGGGGAAGCTAGGGTTTTTTTAATGTCGATTACATAAAGAATGACAGTAAAAAAATAAATAAATAAATAAATAAAAAGTGGCCATGACATAATCTATAGGTGACAAACTATATGATAAGGTATTTTTTTTAAATCAATTTTACAGAAAAGTCGCATTAGTAGCTTTAACACGTCATTATTCCCAGTTTATTCCTGTAAGATCGGAGCATTTAATTACCCGCTGTTTGGATGTAAATCCGCTGCAGGCCGCTGACCCTTGGTCAGCAGGGATCCCACCCTGTTACGGTCCTTTTTCTTCGAAGAGGGCGCCGTTTTCTGCGCACGGCCGTGCCGCTGACGCAGCTCCGCGCCCCGGCCATGTGACGAAGCGCAGCGGCCTCTCCTCTCCGCCTCTCTCGGTCCTTCCTTCCCAGGGTTCAATGAGCGCCGTGTGGCCCCACCCCGCGTCTCTTCAACGCCGTCTGCCTCTTCAGTGTAGCCTACTATTCTCGGAGGAAGAGAAAGGGAGAAAATAATAATAACAACCCCCGAAGACTCGCTTCTTGGGACCGTGTTTCACCTTCCTCGTCCAGCGCGCACCCCCACCTCGCCCCCCCGGAGAGGAGCGGCCTTTCACGATGGGAATGTGCTGCCACAAGAGCCCCGCGTCCTATTTTTTCTGAATGTAAATGCACATGTAAGAGTGTCAAGCCTGTGGCGTGTTTACCCTCCTCGGATTCAAGGGGTGTGTGGGGGGTGGGGGGAGATCTGTAAATATCTGTTTGTGTGACAGTCTGTAGGTTTGTAAACATTTAGAGGCCGTGTAAAAACTGAAGCCGTGCAGGGGGGGGTTATTTTTTTTTTTTTTTTACCTGCAAGAAACGTGGATACATTTCGAAGGATTCTCGGATCTTGGTCACGTTTTCTCTTTATTTTCTTTAACCCACCCTTTTTCTGAAATCGGGGTATTCTCGTCGGGTGATTCATCTGGAATCAGTATATCGGTGCGCAGTTTTAGAGGCTCGGTGGTGATGTGAAGGACTGATAACACATTTCTGCAACAAAAGAGAGGGAGGGAGAGAGAGAGTGAGAGGGAGAGAGAGAGGGAGAGAGAGAGAGAGAAGGCCCTTTGGAGGAGAAAATACAGCAAGGAACAGCCATCACAAATAAGGAGGACAAATTGGGGGTCTCGTTTCGGAGTTAGAGGTGGCGACGGAAAGACAACCGCAGCGAGTTTGGAGCTCTATTTGATGCGGAGAAGGAGTCAAATGACGACGAAAGGAAGAAGAATATCATACATGTAGCTCGTTTGGGTATACATATTATTTCCCTTCCTGCTGATCTCCTAGGTGGGTACCCGACCAAAGACAGCCATCGGGGAGCGAGAAAAATCCACCCAAAAAAAAAAAAAAAAAAAAAAAAAAAAAGGGAAACCCTTTGGACATGTTTCTTGTCAAAGACGACGCGGAGACGAGCAGCGCCTCAGCCCGGCCGAGCCTTTCGGACGCGCCGAGTTCAGCTCCTTGTCACGGGCAGCAGTGAGACGCAAGACCCCGGCTTTCGGAGATGCAAATTAGGCTCTTTTCGCTGCCTCCTTTCGAGGTGAAATCTCGCTTTTTGGTGTCGTAACGGACGCTGTGGATTATAATTACCTACCAGTTTGTCGAGGGGGGAAGTTAATAAGAAAAACAAACACTAAAGTGAATGTAAGGAGGGGGGAAAAATAAAGGAGGATTGAAAGCTAACTGAGAAGGCGGCCTCCGTGTCGTCAGCAGCAGTATCCTGCCCTTTTTCTGACAGCAAAATGCGCTTTATGCCCACATTGCCTGTCCAGAATTAAACTAAGGACAGTTTTCCAAACTATAGCTGTGTAAATGTGTGTTACATTGTTGCCAAATCCGAGGGTCAAGCGAGGGACCTAGACAATTTTTACTTATTTATTTTCGTTTCTACATACTCCCCCTCCCTCCACTTCTACTTCTTCCACTCCTCTTCCTCCTCCCCTGGACCCCCATTTTTTTCCTTTTTTTTTTCTTGCGGGAAGATGGGTTGTTTGGGCAACAGTAAGACCGAAGACCAGAGAAATGAGGAGAAGGCACAAAGAGAAGCAAACAAAAAGATTGAGAAGCAGCTCCAAAAGGACAAACAGATCTACAGAGCAACACACAGACTACTACTTTTAGGTGAGTTTGGCTGACACCTTTTTTTGTTTTTTTTTTGTTTCACCTCCTATCCCTGTTTATTAGCTCTATAGATATTTTTGCTTTAGGCTTTATTATTTAGTCCATTGCCTTTTCATATCAGAACCAACTTTATTGGCAAAGATTTTGTGCACAAACAAGAAATTTGACTTTGGTTTCACTACTCACAGCCTTCAAGTTTAAACTTTAACTTTTTAAGCCTTTTTGCCATATTGTTGTACCGCAAAATCTGTCAGGAAAATTAGTGTGGGGGCGGGGGGGAAGAGCATATTTTTACCCCTACATATTTTATATCCCACTGCCCTAAAGTTGGATCCATGCATAGATCTACCAGTTTTTCCATCAAGTCCTCTTATCCACCAATTTTTATCCATCATGTCGTCACCTGTCCTCCCATGTCATTCATTCATTCATCCATCTATCTACTTTTCTGTTTCTTTATCATCCATTCTTCTCTGTCCTTTTGTCTGTCCATCCATCTATCTGCCCACCACTTATCCATCAAAAGAAACAAGACATTGGAAAAACATTACATTTCAAAATCAATAATACTTCACTGATATCAGCTACAATTAACCGACTGTGTTTTTTGCCCCCAACATCTCATTTTTCCTCTGCCAAGGTCTTCTGGTCTTTGTAATTAGAATCTGTTTCAGTTCTGAATGTCCATCCAATTTGCTAAATATGTATTTGGAAAGTTGAGGTTTGATTCATGAAGTGTTATAATGTACCATTCATTGCATCCGAGTAGTCCTTTGCAACCCCAAGCTTGGTAATGATATTCCTTCCAGGCCTCTTTTCTTCCACTATGCCGGTATTTTCAAGTTCCACCTTTAGAGTCTGATCCCTGTAAAAAAAACATCCACTATAAATTTGGAGTGAACATTTTTATGTGTACCTTAAGAATAGACTGAAAGGGGCTACGAACTCCAGCCGAGTCTGGAAAGGGTCGTAAACGTTCTGGAGCCCTGCAAGCGTTTTCATGCCTAAAACTGGGCTGGACTTTGCAAAACTACTGGGATGTATGAACCAATTAGCTGATAAATGTAAAATGCTCCCACATTTTACAACTCAACACTGAAACATTGTTATCAGACAGAAAGCTCTACATTTAGTCAGATTTCTATAAATACACGCCACCTATAATTTCAATAAAGATAAAGTGTTATCCATGTAACGTCTTCGTGAAATAGTTTTTGGCCACAGGAAATCCTGTTTATCACTTTTGTACAGACAAGACGTACTTGACAGTCAGTTCAGTCCTGTTTTACTCCGACTAAAACATGAATCTGTTGCACATCCTTCATTTGGCAGCTGAATTCAGTTCATATGTTTCTTGCATTTGGCTTCACATGTAGCAAATTGTAACATTTTGCAACATTTTTTGATACAGAGAATATTTATTGCTTTTATGCCAAGTTGGTGCTTTCACAAAGAGCAAACTTGAAATATGAATAAGGATGTCCAGAATATGGTTTGGGGACATATTCTCTGGGGTGGGGTGTGGGGGGTTTTCTATGTTCATTAGCAAAAAGGACGGTTATGAATGAAAACAATTAAAAATGTTCTCGTTTATGATGTGTGCCGAGCATGAGCACTTATTTTGTTTTTTGTGTTTTGCGCGGTGAATTGATAAACTGCCCAAACTAGCTCACATTAGTGATTATTACAGCTCATACGGGTCAATTCTGACAGATTTCTGGATGTATCGGGAAACCTTTCAGTTTGCATTCATGCCTGCACTGGTTTTCCTAGCAAACCAGTTCCATATGATCTGCTGCAACCCAGTTTTAGTTTTATTCTGAAGTGCATTCTGTGTTTTCAGACATGGCTCACACATCTTTAATGTGACGTATTTGTTAAGAATTATTGCAAGTTATTTGGCAATGACTTACTGCAAGCATTATGTTTAGTAAAAATATTTAAAAAAAAATCATACTTTATACCTTTAATTGTGCAAAATTATGAAACAACCCAAGTTTTAACCCTGTAATAAACCTTATTTTCTAGAACATCTTTTGATTTAATCCCAGAACAATAATGTTTGTCACCTGCAAAGAAAATACCTTGTGGTTTACGAGATACTTCACACTTATCAATAATAGTGAATAAAATTGAATTGTGTTAGTTAACCCAGACACCCAGCTTTATTTGTCAACCATTTTTACTGCCTACAATCCAATCAGCCAATCATTTAGTTTTACACACCTTTTTTGAAAATCGTTCTAAAAGCTTATAAAAAATCCAGACTGAAACTGCGTAATCTTTAATTTTGTTGTTGTTTTTACCATGTGAAACTCTTTAAAACTTGAAAAAGGAATGGCATGGGTCTATAATTGTCAAAATGATGCTTATCTCAATGTTTAAAGAACAGAAGTAACCCTAATCCTTTCTGGAAAAAGCAAGAAAGGTCTTTGTCAATTCGAAGTATTTAATCATAATGAGAATGACTAAAATGTGTAGCTGAATTCATGCAACTATTCATTTCTGAGATGGCATTTCATCTTAAATGGGGGGAAAAAATACGAGGGAGGAAAGTGTCAGATTTTTTTTTTGTTTAAAATAACAGAAACAAAACCTCTTCATGTGTTCTGATGCTTCACTTTAGGGAGAAACAAATGTATGATGTTTATTACTTGTTGACTCACATTCTGTTCATCAGTGCATTGAACATATATGTTTAACAATTAAAGGTCTGCTATTTGATTTGTTTCAAGTGTGTAGTTGACGTCATATTTTTGTTCTTTAACAAGCTTAGAATGGTGTCGTATATTGACAGCTGATCATTTTCAATTGAGATAATGGTCAACATAATTCCACTTTACATGAATCTACCCAGAAGTGTGAAGTACCAAGCAAAGGGGAGAGAGGAGGAGTTTTGGGGCCTCCCTGAGAAATGAGCTCCAGCCTTTAATTTATTGATCTCTTTCTCTTTTTGCGGTTGTTCTTCAGGCCTCATAGTTTTCACAGTTGAGACGCTGCTTCCTCCCTGCATGGCCTTCTGGGTGTTGTTTTAGGAAACATTGTCAACAGTGTGACTGCCATTGCATAAGGCCGAAAAGGCAGCACTGTGATGGGCTTTTCAGCCTGTTGCTCTCAGACTGAAGGCCTGTCAGCATGAAAACATGCTGCAGTTGTCTTTTATTGTATTTTTAAGTAGCTTCTGATCCTAATTAAAGCAATTTCGTGTACCTTTTAGAGTTAATGTGTGCACTTTTTGTTACAGAATATTTAGATTTATTGGTGTGGGGAAAAGGGATTATTTTAGCATGTAGGCCAAAAAATCCCACAATAAAAGCTACCTCAGAAAGTCTAGAATCAGGTGTGGTGATTTTCCTAGTCAGAATACGTATGTGGTTATTTGGTTATTGAAAATAGAAATATGTGAATTTCTGAAATTTCTGTAGACGATTTCATTGAAATCTGACTTCCAACATCACTACTACTGTTTTTATGTAGCTCATTTGCTTTTCTAGCTGATTCCCAGAGCCCAAAAATAAGACTTCAGAAACCAAAAAGGGCCATTTCCCTTTCAGATCGGGACTTAAACTGGATCCATGGTGATCCAGCCGGAAACCGTCTAGATCCTAAAAAAACAAAAAGCAGAGACGTTAGTGTTTTTTAATTTCAGCTAATGGAAAAAAAGAAAATTAAAACTGTGTATAGAAGAATCTGTATTTATTTGGATAATTTATTCCTTGATTTTTGACATATAGGGACTCAAAATTTGTGCAAATAAGTAGGAAAATTTTAGCTTTTTCTCTCTAATCGGAAGACAAAAGGCATTTTTAATAATCTGAGGAATGTACAATGCATCTGGATTAAAAGTATATGTTTTCTCATCAAATATCCAGAATGTGGTTGGAAAGATTATTGAAATGTGAGTGAAGAATGCAAAGTGTAGAATTTTGAAATGAGAAATGCCTAATAAATCTAATTTGGCAGGTTATTGTTTGTTTTTCTCCCAGGAAGGCATTGGGTAAAAATTGGGTTTGAAAGTTACACTTACAAAACCTAAATAGGTCAGTATGTAGCATTCAGTTGTTATATGTTCATGTTTGTGTGAGTTTACACTTATTTTATCAAATCGATCATGTTGTGTAGATTGAGGAGCTCTGCTCTTTGTAAAAATCATAATGTTTGATTAGTTTGTTCCCAGTCAGTATGGATCACGCTTGACAAGCTTATATTTTTCTCATGGAGGAAGTTGTGGCGACATCAGAACAGTGGGACGAGACCCAAAACAATGATGTGTGCCGTTAAAGCTGGTTCCCTTTTTTTTCTTTTCATTGTAACTTCATAGACATCCATGGCGTTATTAGCTTCTTTTTTGCATATATAGATTTATATGTGGATATGGTTTTACTGTGGTTTACAGAAACAGAGAATATAAGGATTGCTCTAAAGTCACATGCAGTGCAGCCAGCAGCCTGTGGTAGTCCCCCCCCCCCTCTGTTTAGTTAGTTTGGTTTTTAATTTGCTTATTCGTGAAGTAGTCGCTATCCAGGGATGGGCTGGAGTTGATTAGCAGGATTTTAATCGCTGCTTTTAAAGAACATGTTTCATCTCCACATTTGAGATTTTGGATTATTGCGACCCGGACCTCTGCACTCAAAATACATCGTTCTTTTGTGCTGAATTATTTTTTTGCCTTGGTTTCTGAATGTATGCATCTCATGAGTTTCAAGTTGGACCGTCCCTCTGGAGCGGTCAGATGGGTGAGAGGTGGGGTGAGAGGCGGGGTGCGCCTCAAACACATTGCCGCCCCGTCACAGGGCTGACATGCATGAAGAAATCCTTTATTGTTAACCTGTTATTAGTGTCTTATTTACAGTTAGTCATTTTGGTGAGTGTAATGAAGAAAGTTATGCCCGTTTGTTTGTTTCTACTTTGGTGCAACAAATCAAATCAGCAGCGTTGCATCCAGTTCCTGCTTGAAGGTCGCGTTTTTCTGCCTAGCAGATCAAGGACTTATTGATAAGTCCACATTGGTCAGGAATGATCAAGGAATCACTGAGTCCATAACTTGATTGGTTTTCTTGAATGTCAACTACATGAACTAGAAGTATTTTTATGTTTATAATTTTCGGCTAACAGCTATTTATGAGCACTTTGAGCAGCATCACTTCTATTTTGCTTAAATATACAAGTACCTGTAAGTGTATCAGCCCATTTAATTATGAAAAATTAAATTAAAACATTGTGTTTTATTGTTGTTGTTTTGTTACTGTTAATTATGTTTTCCAGACTGTTATGACCTCTGACCTCTCGGTAAAAACACATAGCTCATCCTATCTGTTGTAGCCTGGTCTGAAGCAGTCTACCTCAGCAGAATAAAACCTCTGTACTAACTTCTGTGACTCTTGTTTTGTTAAACCAATCAAGGCTGGTTTAGGCCTGAAAACTCTGAAAATCCTGGAGTTAATCCATCATCAAGGACATTTACAAAAAGCAATATCTTAGGAAAAACATTGGTCAGCCCAAGAAGAGCTGCAGCCTGGTTCTCCTGTACAGTATGCAGCTCATTCCTCACCTAGCTGTGCTTTCTGCAGGGCCGACATTACAGAGCAGCAGATGCGAGTTTCGTTCTGACGGCAGATACAGTGAGTTAGCGACCTGCCGATGCACAGTCAACGACCCGGCAGGACCGCGTAGCGTTAATTTGAGTTTGTTGTCAAACAGACGCGGAGCACTCAAGCCAATACTCACTCCAGCAAGACTTCGACTTGTCTGTAAAACTCATGTATTGACAGGAATACTTTTTTAGATTGTCAATAATTTAACTGTTCACTGTGGCCGTTCACCACCTTTGCACCACTTTAAATATACTTTTAGCAGAGCAGTGGTTCAGGATTTTGAGGATTTTGGATTTAGGGTTTCCCAGTCTCTAACTTTCCTACGCAGTTCTACTGGATTCTCATCAACCTTCAGTAACCCGCTCTTGGGTTTAGCCCAGTTTTTTTATTTTTTTATTTTTTGCTAATGTTTGCATATCATTTTGTGACTCCTGGTTATTTTTCTTGAAAAGTTCAAAGTCACGATTTAGTCTGAACACAAAAAAATATTTGAATATGTCGACTTAAGGCAGGACTTGTCCAAACCTTTACACAAAACCAAAAAGTTATAGTTGACGGTGCATTTTCCTTTAATAAAATGAAAAGCTTAAACAATTCAAACATCTGTGCTGATCTTTAGAAAGGGGATTTTCATATGTATAGGGTTCTTTGGTTTCTTTTTCAAACAAAATACCTTTTTTTAATTTTTTTTCCCCCCTCAGGAGCTGGTGAGTCGGGAAAGAGCACCATCGTGAAACAGATGAGGATCCTACATGTCAATGGCTTCAATGCAGAGTGAGTACGATTCACAAACGAGCCGTATCCGCTGTTCGCTTAAGATCACGGCGCATCGAGACACCTGGGCTGAACCTTTTCTCTTTTTGTTAAAAATTACAAAGCAACCTAAATGTAAATAAGAGTTTTTTATATCTATAAAAACTATCTACTTTTTTTTTTGTATTTTTGAGCAACACACCTCAGTTTTTTAGGGGCCTCCTAAGCCAACAAAACTCATGTGATGCTTATTGTAACACGCCAGAAAGTAGAGCTGATTATACACAGTTATACGTTATATAAACAGCTATTTTAAGTAATTGTGAGCTCTTCTAATTTCTGTCTGATGTGCCATCCAGGTGAGCTACAGGTGGGCAGCTCCTCTCAATGAGCTGCGTTTTTACTACCAGCAAGGAATTTTTTTGGTTGAGGCACTAATTTAAATGTTTCAGATTATTACGCAGACTTTAATAACATACGATTCAACAATAAGGAGTCGGGGCGAAATTAGCTTCCTCTGATGATCCGAAGACGTTAGAGGAAATATTCTGTGGAGCGACACAAAAGAAGTGGAAAATGATGCCCAGGCACCGGTCCATAATCTTAGCCACCTCTGACTGGCTAAAAAGAATCACAATTGGTCCAGTCAAAGTCCAGAGTTGGATTTAATTGTGATGCTGTGGTATTACCTTAAGCTTCTTGAATTATAAAATCTTTTACAGTGGTGTTAGAGACCACTGTAAATCAAAAACCAGCTTTTGATGCCAATGGTGACACAAACGGCAGGACAGTACTTGAAGGAGTAAGTCGGCTTGGACAGGTTGTTCTCCCCTCCAGAAGAGAAAAAAAAAATCCAAATTTAAACACTACATTTCGTATTTACTCAGTTCTTTAAAATTTTTCTATGTATGTTTTTTTTAATTGTTCTCAGTCTTAAATTGTTGAATGACAACAAAGCAAAAACAGAAAAAATCTCTAAGAGGGCAAATACATTTTCACGTCATATGCGACAACATAAACTGATATGATTTAGGGTCGATAATCTTGGAACCGGTTTTCATTTGGAAGGTGTGCAGGCTCCTGAAAAGAAGAACTAAAACCTGACAGGAAGTTGAAGTAAGTGAGGCCTCTACAATAAAACGAAACAGGGAATGCAAGGAGAGAACAAGAAAACGCTAATATTGTATCCCTTGGTAAACTCTGTGCTACGTTCTTCCACGGTACAGAAAATATTGACTTGTTTGTCTTCACTCAAATTAACTTGAGTGGGATCCCATTGTTTATCCATAGGCTAAACAATGGGAAGGGTGTTGTTGGTCCACCCTTTGCGTCTTCTCTCGGGAAGGCTTTTTTGTGTTTTTGGGGAAATGTTGGACCGTTCTTCCAGGAGGACATCTGGGAGGCCAGACACTGATGTTGGATGACGAGCTCTGACTAATGGCATCAGCGAGTTTTTAGAGCCGATGCTGTGACAGCTCTGGCTGGATTAGTTCATGTTCAGTGGCAATCACTGCTGATTAACTTGTGTTTTACCACATGGGTTGTAGCCCAGGTCTGAGAAACCCTGTGGGAAGTCTAACGAACTGATTGTACAATGTGAGCTTTCCCTTTTTTTTTTTTTTTGTTTTTGTTTTTTTTGTAAAGTTCTGGACACAAACCAATAGTCACTTTTTTTTCTTTTTTTTTCTCCACAGCTCTCCAGAAAGCTGTTCTCTTCCTGTTTTTGTTTGTTTCTAGACCACATTCTTGAGCCTTGCTTATTTTAGTGAGCTAAAAAGGAATTTGTGTGCGAGTTATTGTGTGTCAATGACTAAGCGTGGGTTGGTCTGGTGGTGGTCATGTATTGGTCGGGACAGAAGCATCTTTGCAAGGTTTGACTAGAAAATCAGCACCTTAGGCAGACTAGAGCATATGACCCAGTGTGTGACTCCACAACACTGAACAGTGCTTGTGTGCGCACAACACTGTTTTTATACAAAGAGTACATGTCTGTCCATGTCCTGCGTAGGGATGGATGTGTCTGTCCGGCAAACTTGACTGCACCATAAATTGGATAGCAGGCAATAGCTAACTTTCCCCACATTCGATAAACTGCAGTGCCTTCATTTAATTTTGTTGACACGAGTGTGTTTGACTGCTCGGGTCAGATGTGTGACATTAAATAACTTTTGTCAGTGAAAATCTGTTGAGACCAAAACAGCAGACCAGTTGCTGGTCGGGGTTCACATGACAGGCATAGTAATGGGTTTTAATTTCCACAGATCCTCCAGCTCGACGTAAATATGCTGATTTTACGACCTCAAAATGTTGAGTGGTGCTAGCGATGAAAGATTTGAGGAGAATGGAAGAAGTGTTGTGGTAAAGTCAGAGTAATTTGTCACCGGAAGTTTGCTGGTATCTGCTGTTGGTCAGATTTGGGAGAATGAATGAAACACCCACTTAGATCTCCATGTTCCTTTTAACTGTGATGACTGCACTGTTCTTGGCCAAGGCATTCACCACTGGAGCTTTCAAGTGGTCAAAACAAAGGGATAAAACTGTGTGAAACTTTTTGAGCTTAAAAAAAAGACTATTTTGAACCCAAAAGCTGACTATGAACAATACATTTCATGCCCCAAAAGATTAAAATAAAAGTTGAAAGAAGATGTTACTGCTCAAAGTCCAGCCTTTGAGCTTTTTTTCCCCCCTCACATTGTTGAATTGGTGGTTTCTATTTCAGTCAAATTTCACACTCACGGTATTGTGCAAGTTAACTCTTACCAAGGGCTAGTTTTACATTCAGTTCACATAAGTTAGAACCAAACTAATTCACAATTCACTACTTGGAATGTCTTAAATCATGGTTTAGATTGTTTTTTATTTTTGTATGAAATAAAGCATAAGTAATAGAATCATTCTCCAAAAACATTTTGATACCCGTTAACATTGATTAAACAAAAGAAAAAAAAGTTTTGTTCTTTTCACACAAAGAAACGTAATATAATTCATGTGAATTGTTATTAAAGTTGACCACATTTAGATTGTTTCTGCTTCGGTCACATAAAACAAAATGAGTCTGAAACGTCACCAGAAACTGTTAGAAAAATCTAAATGTGTAAAATACCGAAAAGTAAGATGTGGAAATGCAGATTCAGATTCATTCCAGCAGACTTCAGCGCAGTTAACGCAGTAATGGGACCCTGGCGGCGCAATATATACGCAAATACTAAACGTTTTAACAAGGGGCGCTTTTAACTGCACCTGCACAAAAACACAACAGTCACCATGCACTCACCTTTGAGGGAAAATAACTATTTTTCTACAGTTTTTAAAGTTTCTCTTAAGTTTCTGAGAGAGATCATTGCTAAATGCAGCTCTGTTAATTTATGGCAGATGAAGCTTCAAGTAACTCCTGGGATCAAAAATATTCTGGCAAAAATTCTCCTACTCCCAAGATGCTTTGAAGCACTTGAAATACTCGGGAACAACTTTATTAGTGGACTGATGCATTCAACTTGTGGCCTTGATGACCCTGGTGAAGGACACAGGGTGAAACACTGATCAAGTTATTCCCTAGAATTTCAAGTGTTGCTGGGATTACTCAAGAAAACCAACGCTACGCCTGAACACACCGACTCGAAAATGATTATACATAAGTTTATATACAGGAAGTATTTGAAATGCGGTATTTCTTTATAAATTGGTGTTTATCCGGTTGACTAGCTTGGTTGTGCTGTCTACTGCTCTACTATTGTATATATTTAATTTTCTTCCATTTCCTTTAGATTTGTAAAATTTTACTTGGCTTGCCTGTTGAGTTTTCTAATTTAGCTGAAAAGGTCTGTGATTGGGTCAAATCTTAGCTGTTAAATATTCACTGTGCTCGACCGACGTTGTCGACGTTTCCCAAACAAATTAAAATCTTTTAAGAGGTATTCTTAACTGAAATTGTGATATTTTGATGTGATACAAAAACTAAATTGCTTTCCACACAATAGCTGACTTAAAGTCATAATGCTAAAATATAAGAAGAACATGGGGAGTTTCTGCTGCAGCTGATCAGACGGATAAAGTTACAGATGAATCCCAACACAAAACAAGCCAAACCTAAAACATCTCCAAAAAAAAAAAAACAAGAAGCAGAGACACAGAGGCGAAGAGCCTCACACTCAACGCTGCACAGTGAGCACACACACACACACAATCATGTGATTTATAATGACTATCAGGTTGAAAATGTAAACAGGGCCTTCTCAATCTTCCTTCTAACCCGATAAACCGTCCTGTGTCCCCTCCTTCGCTGTTTCCCCCTATCGGCACACAGTGACCTCACAGGTGGCTTGTCTTAGAAAATGGAAATCATCTTCATTTTTTTTGTCCCTCATTGAACTGATGCCAGAGGAACTGGGAACAAAATACTGAATGTCTGGTATGTGTGACTGACCACCGCTTTCAAAAAGTAGAGTAGTAGTCATCAAGCACTTTGAATTGCCTTGTTGCTGAAAATGTGCTATATAAATAAAATTACCTTACCTTAGAGGGTCAGTTTAGGCTTTATCATCCATTTGTTTTTTTTAGTTGATTTATTGTGCATCGCCAGTAAAAAAAAAAAGAGCAAACTGGGCCTGATGTATAATTCCATCTTTTAGATTAAATACATTCATCAGACATTTTAGTTTCACTGGTTTTTGCATTTTTGTTCCCAATTGTCCTTTTTCATGTTCACGTTGACTCTGCACATAAATCTGACATTAACAGTAAAAGTGGCACATAAAAAAAAATAGGCAGCGTTCGCCTCTTTTCACTGACGTGGAGCCGTCATAAACACAATGCCCTGTTGTCTTGGCAGGCTCAAGGTGAAAGACGGGCAAACTGGCTCCTTGGTTGCCTTTATTAGAAACATTTCTATCACAGAGAGTCCCAAATGTCTTGTACACACAGCTATCATTCACATTGCACAGACATAATTTCTGCACCTCGCATGGCGATGAAGGTCTGTTTACCCTTCCAGATCAAAAACAAACTCTTTTGCGTTCCTATGAAGTTGAGCCCTGTCAACTCCTTTTGCTGCACTTTTCATACGTGTCGCTGAAATTCGCCCGATTCAAGCACAAGAGACAAAACTCGAGTTAGTTTTCCTGTCGCACCGTTATGTTTCCAATCAATGTTTTACCTCAATAATTTTGCGTTTGGGATTTTTCTGTCGAGGACATAAAATGTTTAAAATGTCAAGTGAATTTCTTGCAAGACGAAAACATGTATGGTCTCGGAGAAGGCGCTACGTACGTTTCTCATGTTGCGACTAAGTAAAAACTGTTTTGTTGTATTTGCATAAAAGTTCTAAAACAAATGGCAACACTGGTACAAAAAGCTGATATTAGCCGGTTAGTTGAGCTGTCTGCTCAGGTTGTCAGTCTGTAATGAGGTAATTCACTTTTTATTTTTATTTTTTATCTTTGATTTAATGTAAAACTTTCAGATTTCATAACTTGTTACTTTTGAAAGCCAGTTTTATATTATGTGCCAATTGACAGTCTTAGTTTTAAAACTTAATGAATTGCTTTATTTCATATTGTCATCTTCCTAAAAAATAATGGCATACAAGTTTTTTATTTGCCAAAAGTGATTTTGGCAAAAAAAAAAAAAAAAAGACTTTCATTATTTTAGGAAAGTTATGATATGAAACTTCTAATTGTTTTTGTCACACAATTTCTGAAACAAATGTCTGTTTTGTTTGTTTCAGAGAAAAGAAGCAGAAAATTCAGGACATCAAGAACAATATTAAAGAAGCTATTGAGGTAAGTGACTCATTGAACAACTTCTCTGTCTTGTCTTCTCTTCAGCATTTAAAAGTCTTGTTATAATCTGATGTTTTGTTTCCTTTTTCGTTCTGGACCTGTGTGCTTGTGACAGACCATAGTAACAGCCATGAGCACACTGACGCCACCAGTGCAGCTGGCCTGTCCGGAGAACCAGTACAGGATCGAATATGTCCTCAACCTCGTCAACCAGAAAGACTTTGACTTTCCATCGGTGAGCTGCACGATAACGGGATACACTCCTGATACAAATATCGTTTATTTGTCTCCCTCTTGTTTGAGTTGATATTCAAACACATTTTACATGGCAGCAGGGCTCTCGGTTATACGGTGCGTTCACTCGTCAGAGAAATATTGGATTTTTGAGCTTCTATCACATAGTGCTGTCCTCCTTCTTCACACCTGGATCAAGTGAATGTCTCCTTACTGAATGACTGCTGATGTCCTTTAACTGGTCCGATTCAACACTAGGATCAATTTTTTACAGTTTTCATTGCATTTTTGTTAACAGTTCTTATCGTTAACTTTTTAGTACTGCAGTGTTGTGATGTAAAAAACGAAAATATATAAAAACTTCTGCAGGTTTGATGAATTCACCTACAGTTTTTATCGAATATTTCATCAACAGAGGTTAGTAGTAAACTTGTGTTTGTAGAAGCTGCAGGTATCAGCTGTGTTTGTGTTGTAGGCCCAGTTCCCCAGCTCACAGTCCCATAGCACAGGTGTTGAGTGGAGGCAGTCGGTCGCTGCCCCCTGGGGTTGACCCCACAGGTAGTTTCTGTGTGGGCTCAGGACTCCCAGTGGGATTTGGCCATTAACTAATTATTCAGCCCAAAGGCCTAACTTGAGCCACCGTTGGGGCCAAACTTAATTCAATATACAGTCTCACCTCTCGGTGAAACAGGAGTGTTTGTGTTACAACCACTGGAGAGATGTGTCTGCAAACTTTTTTTGTTGTCAAACCTGAAGTTTTATAGTGTCAAAGCGCTGCAGCGTGTGGGTTACTTGGAATTTGTTTGCCGCCTGTCAGCAGACGAGCCTTGTTGCTTTCGTCCCCGTCTCGTTCACTGTTGTTTAGTTTAGATTTTTTTTTTTTTTTTACAGTATTAACACTTTCAAGGGCTCGTACGATATTTTAATTTAACATAACAGTCCACTGTTATGTGGGTGCAAAGAGGATTGTAGAGTTTCCTTTAATCTTTTGGGTATGTGCATGTTCTGATCTTGACTGTCTGAACATAAGACGCCCTCGTGTTTTTATGTATTCATTCTGTTTTGTAATTTAACCACAGGCCTTGAGTGAATGTACAACTTTGTTTTATTTTGGTTAAAAAGAAAACATTGTGTACAATGTCACCCTGCAGGACTGGACTGAGGCTGGGCTTCATAATATTAGGAAACCATCTGCATGCTTTGTTTCCGCTGAATGCAGCATTAGCAGTTTTGTGATTGAGCCACACTCTCTTGCCAGTTTTGTTTCCCCCCGTCATCATAGTGTCCAAACTTTTCTTTGGGATCTTAAACATCTCAGCCACTAAAATCTACATCAGATGTGCATCAAAGACACTGAACGTTCCTGCAAACGGCCAAATATGTTATTGAAATGCAGCTCACTCCAAATATTTTGGTGAATTGCAAATGTTGAAATTCAAAATGATTATGCTGCCACTCGATGAAGCTGAAACTAATCTGATCACATTTGTCAGTGTTTTATTCTAACAACCTTTTTAAGTTGATTTTACAGCAATTGAATAAGATTTCATTCTTTAAATAGGCCGTTCCAAATCTTGTGTTTTGTTTTTATCTTCTTTGTTTTGTTGGGGGGTTTTTTAGCCATTCAGACACGGGCTTACCACTGCTTTGGATAATTGTCTTGCTGCAAAACCCAACTGCGTTTGAGCTTGGGATCACAAACTGATGGTCGGACTTTCACCACCGTGTTTGACCATCATGCTCTTCTGCATTGATTTTAGGTTTAATCAAGATGCAACATGAAGCACGTCTTCTGAAAATTTCCACTTTTCCTCGCCCTCAGCTCATAAAATATTTTCCCAAAAGTCTTAGATTGACTTTTGACCCTCTCATATTTATTGGTAAATATGAGATGGCTCTTTTCAGTCTGTTTGGCCAGTGGTGGTTTTAACCTTAATCTGGCCATTTTAGCTGAGACTTTCTCTTATTGTTGAGTCATAAATGCTGACCATAACTCAGACAAGTGAGGCCTGCAGAGCTTCAGAGGTTCGTTTGGGTTCTTTGGCGTCTTCTTGGATGAGATGGTTGACGTGTTTTTAGAGTAGTTTGGTAGGTGAGCCACTCCCGGGAAGGTCCACCAGTGTTCCATGTTTTCTCCATTTGTGGATAATTGTCTTTGCCGTTTAGTGGGATCTCGTAGTTTTAGAAGTAGGTTTATAACATCTCCCAATCTAATGTCGAGATTGTTAAACCTACTTCATGTTGAGACTTCTTGACTCTAAAGCTCTTTAAAACGGCTGAAGGTTAAACATTTCCTCGTTCATGTTCTTCCTTTGAGTTTTTGCGCTGCGGTTTCCAAAATTGTTATTCCAGTAAATCATATTCAAGTCAAAACTATGTTCACCAGACACTGTGATTTATGATTTTCATCGACATGAAGGCATTGAGTTCTTGCGCTGATACTGGGTGATATACAGCTGATAGGCCGATTGTGTTTTTTTTTTTTTTTTCACCCACAAAATGCCCTCCACTTCCCCATCCGTTTCTGCTGCGCTGAGCAGTTGGGAGGCAATTATTTATTGCCGTTTATCATCGGTTGTCGTTTGGTTACTTGTTTGGTCGGTTGACTTGTTTTTGACGATCGCTGCATAGTTTCCAACTTACAAAACAGGGATGGCGAAAGTGTGTTTTGCATCTCACTGGAATTTATATTGAGGATTGTGTGTGGGCGCGCTGAGAGTTATGTGTGTGTGTAACATCATCCCATTGAGTTACTCATCGTCACAGTTCAGTAGTGCAGGTATAGGGGGAAATGTTTGAATTTTCGGCGCTTCGACTCTTATGAATTGGTCGAATCATAAGAGCTGGGATTACGTGGCAGCGTGGCTCCATCAGATTATATGTCTACAGTCAAAGCGTTTTGTACAGAAACTAATCATTACAGGCCAGTTTAGATGTGGTTGCTAATGGGGCCATGAGAGCAACATGTTTACTGCTGCATTCGTTTTATTTGTAAGTCTGAGATGATTCAACCTTGAACCAGATTTCTGAACAACAGAAAGGGCTTTAAATAACTTGGACAGACATGAAGTCCCTTTGTTTTCTGCTGTCCTTTGATTGCTTTTTTTACACTGATTACTGCCAGAGTGATGCATGTTATCATCTTCTTGTCATATTATACAAAATATTTATGATGAGAAGCAGCATCATAATGTAATCCACTATTTTTTATTTATTTATTTTGCTTTTCTTACCGAGGGTTTCACAAAGAAGATTTGGGATTTGCTATATTTTTGTTGAATATGTCAATGTTCTGCCTGTAGCAGATTCAGTACCAACAGGCTAAATATGCTGTTTTATATTCTGTACCGTAGCCCAATCAGAAATGTATTAGTATGTTAATATTGCATAAATAGATATGTTAAATGATGATATATTCTCAATAGATTTGCGTCGCCGTGACGTGAAATAGAAATAAGAAATAATTTTTGACTTCTTTTTCTTATTTAATCTATCGTTTAAGGAAAACAGGAAATAGATTGCAATTTCTTTGATTTATTCTGTTGTAGAATCCTAAAATAGCATTATTGCACAAAAGACACAATGTTTTTATTTTACATGTTAGTATTATATATATATCAGCAGCCAGAGCCGCCATCAGCATTGCAGAGCCTGAAATCCTTCACGAAATCCTGGCAGATTTTGATTCAAAGTCAATTTCAGTCAACCAAGAAGTTTGTTTCCTAGAGCTTAGCAGCACATTGTTACAAATTGTAAAAAGCAATGTTTAAAAATGGTTTTTTTTCTTCTTCTTCAAGGATTAAATGCTCAAGGAGAAGACAGGGAGTGCTATTAGTTTGCTAGGAAATGAGGTCTGTCTTTGTTGAAATGTTTTTCCACCTCTCCTTACAAGACGAGGTTCTGCATTTGTTCAGGTTAGATTTCACTGGAAGAAAAGCTGATTTGTTGATCTGGCTCAAGGGAGAGACTTTAACTTAATTTATGACTTTGATAAACAAGACCTCAATCATCCTTGATCAAACATGTCAGTGTAAAAAGGCAAGTGAGTAAACGAGACGTCTGACATCAGATTGGAAACGGGGACAGACAAAATAAAAACTCATTTTGTGACTTTTCAGGCAGTTTATGAAACTCAAAATAAAATGTTTGTAGTTATGTCCGTTCTGTGGGTTAAATTATTGCTGAAAGGTTCATTAATTTCAGCAACTCAAACACGAACTGAAACATATTGTAAATCTTTGTATTTTCAATCTTTTATTTCTCTTGATGATGATGATTTTCTGCTCGCAGCTGATGAAAACAAAGCCCTTAATATAGCATTATCAAATCAGACCAATAAAAAACTTAATGAAAAGTATATTCAATACCTGCTCAAAGGTTGTTGTTTTTTTGTTTTTTTTTGTTTGTTTTTTTCAAAAGGTGCTTTTAATCTGAAAAGCCAGTGTCGTCAGGACGCGCATTCTGTTTTTAATTGACGCGTATAAGTGACGCCAGTTTGTCGGTAACTCTAAGAGTTGTGAGGTGTTTCTTTATTTACTTTGTTCCCCCCTCACCACTATTTACCTCCAGAAGTGCGCACACGGGCGGCGCCCAGGCACAACGTCCATTGCATGTGGTGTCAACAAAGACGCTGCGCACCCGCTGATCTCAGTCACACGTCATGGACAACAGACAACCTTGTCGCCTTTTCTGTCTCCTTTCATATCTGTCAAATTGTACCATAACACAGCGACCTAAAACGGGAAGCGTTTCTGTCCGACGTGAGCCATTGATTGATCAAGCCTGTTTGTTCACCTGCATTAAACCAACATAAAAAATATCCGTTATCGACTGTTTGTTTTGTTTTTTTTTTTGTTTTTTTCTTTTTCAGTGCACGGAGTAGTTCAAGTAAATCTGTTCGTCAGAAACGTTGAAGCCCTTTCTGACTCTCATCTCGTTTTGCTCTTCCCCCCTCAGGAGTTTTACGATCACGCAAAGACGTTGTGGCAGGATGACGGCGTCCGGGCGTGCTTCGAGAGATCCAACGAGTATCAGCTAATTGACTGCGCACAATAGTGAGTAACTTTGAGCGACACGACTTTTAAGCCGTCCACTTTGCAAATATTTTTATTAGATTGCTGCAGTTATTTAAAATGCAACGAAATGGCCTTCAAGTGCACAGATTTAAAAGGATCAAACCAGACTTAACATATTCTGCTGCTTGTCACAAAAAAAAATCTATGTGGTTCTTTAAACTGATTCAGGATAAAAAATAAAATAAAATTCCGCAAAGTATTTATTTGTCAAAACAAAAAAGCCTGGTTGGTTACTCTTAAATTTCAATTGTATTATTAGAATCCAGCTTGACTAAATATTAGTTAAAAAATAAAAATGTAGAAAATTTCTAAAAGGTTGTCATAGTCTAAAAAGCTGCTGCTCATGTTCACTTAGATAAAAAAAAAATCAATTTAGCTTCAAATGGAGCAAACTATAAAGGACGGCAGGTTTAGGACATTATAATTATGGTTCATCCTTCACATACGAGTTCATTTTCCACTTCCTTGCAAGAAAATAAAGACTTTTTAAAAATGAATACGGACAATAATTCATATATTACAAATTTAAATGTTTTTCTGGCTGATTTAATTGTGCATTCGTCCTTTTATCATCTCTTCTAAAATACAGAGGTGAAAATTTATATTTTATGTATGTTTACCATCGTTTGAAGTGGACTTTATTTCTGTATCGCAGAATTATGCAGATGCTCTGATAAGACATTTATGGTCAGGATTGGGTTTTTATGGAAAATGTTGGTTTTTTTCCCCTCACTAATTACTTGAACCAGCGGGGTCTTATTCCAGTTATGAAGCTCAGACGTCTGGACTCTTTAAATGCCCCTATAATTCATCAGACATACAGTAACTGAAGTGAAAAGGTCAGTACTGAGAATTTAGTGACATTTGAAGATGTGGTGAGGAGCAGGATGAGCGACCGCTCCCCTGGGGACTGGAAGTGGACCCTGCTGCTCCAAACATTTTATTTTAGTTTTTATTGCTGTAGATATTGGTTTACATTTATCTTCTAACCTTAGTCATTTCGCTCAGAACATCTGTATGTAAAAGAAGAAGAAAAATGTGGTTTATATGCGTTAAAATTCATTAATTCATTTCTCAAAAATCTTGTACTGCTAAAGCGAACAAAAATGTTCTTCTGACAAGCAGCTATGAAATTGACACAGCAGTATTTAAAAAAAATAAATAAATCAAGTGACTGGTTGAATATTTTTCTTAGATATTTAGTTATTTAAGGTATTTTGTCTTTTATTCATACCAGATTCATCAACTCTGGGGCTTACTGTTCAAGCTATATGGATGATATTCATATTTTCCAAACGCAGAGACTCTTAATGCCGTCGTCTGATCTTCAGATATCAACAACTGCCTGTAAACTATTAAACTATCTATTTTAACAGGCTGTTAATTCTTCTAACCGGGTTTCTAAAACATATTTCTCCTTTTGGAAGAAGCTATCTGCAGCGACAGCTGCTGGCTAATTTGAACCCAAACCAGCTAGGTTTAGACTGTAGAGACGAGTCTCGTCACAAAGCCCAGACTTTCTGTGCTGAGTCACTTCTCAGATCCGTTACCGTAAAGAGAATAAAATGATCCGTTTAATGTGAGTGAGTCAAGTCCTGACGCATCGTGGGATCAATTACTGTGGCTAAGACAGAGCTATGTTAATGGTGGACTGAATATCTATGTGATGTAGTGCTACTCCATTTTCCCTGACATGGCATTTCATAAATTTCAGTAATTTTCTCTGACATTAATAGACAATAATATGTTTTCTGTATTAAAAATAAAAAATCCCGGCTTGGAGCTCAAGTTCTAGAAACTTGATGTATCTTTGCTTTGTCCCCTTTGTTTATTTCAGTGTCCTCTGCAATTGGCAAAGAATAATCAGGCATAGAAATACATAAAGCGTACTGTGTATTTTATAACCCAGTTGTGAAAGGTTCTGTAATTTGTTGGCCCTCTCGATGTGCTTTTGACCCCAGTCAGATGTTTTGTTGAGACAGCTGTGACCCTGCTTTGCACCATTAGCGGTCCGCTGTGTTTCTCCGAAGACCTCTTGATAAACCTGAATTAAATCTACAGGAAACGTTCAGGCTTAATGTGGAACTGAGAAAGTCGGGCATTTTCTGAGCTTAGTCGGTTTTTACGTGAAGGTGTTAAAAGATCCGACCCTCCAGTGGCATCTAGTAGAAGCCGAGGTTATCACAGCTAACTCAAACTAACAAAATGGCAAAAGGTGAAACTGAGAAATCATTTTTGCTAACTGAAATAAATAGATACTCCATACTATTCCTAGCCGTACTTGCAGTCATCCACAAAATGTTGACATGAAAAGTTGGGGGAAAACACCAGTCAGCTGTTTGTCCAACAATAATTTAATATATTTTTTTGAAAATTGTATCTTTTGTTGAGTATCCATTATGCAATCGATTTATACATAATCACAATACAATACGTCGCCGTTTTTTAATTCTGCACCCAAATATTAACCAAAATATGAAAAAATGGAAACTACTATTAAAACTAATAAAAACTACACCGAAACCAAACAATAATTAACTAATCAAAACTAACAAACACACTCTTAAAAACGACTGAAAACTAATTTATTCAGATAAAAAGTCATAAAGAAATAAAACTAAACTATAATGGAAAAACCCCAGAAATGGACGCAGCTTCACTCTGTGGTTCCTTACTGACACACACAGTGACTCCTCAGAATGTGTCCATGTTGTTGTGTGTGTGTGTGCGTGCGTGCGTGCGTGCGTGCGTGCGTGCGTGCGTGCGTTTCATGCTGGCCACAAACCTTCACATATTTTATTGAGACTTTATGTGTCAGCACAACACAAAGCAGCACATCAATGTGAAGCGGAAGGAACAAAAAAATAAAGACAAATACAAATCTGATCTACAGGCATTCGGCCTCCTTTACTCTGACACCCTTAATAAAATCCTGGCCAAATGCTCGCCTTCAGAAGTCACCTGATAAGTGGTGTTTAGTTTAATCCCAGTATAAATCCAGCTGTTTTGTGATGATCTGAGGTTTATTAGAGAACAAACGGCATCATGAAGACCGAGGAACACCGCAGACTGGTCAGGGAGGAAGTGGTGGAGAGGCTTAGAGCTAAATTAGATGATAAAACATTATTTGAAGTCTTCCACAAATAACTGGGGTCAACCCTTCGGCAGGAAAATGACTCTGAGCACTCAGACGAATACTTTGGATCAAAGCTTGTTTGTGGTATAGTCAAAGTCCAAACCTAATTCCATTTGAAAGTCTGTGGCAAGACTTTGTAAATGTTTGCAGATACGTTTCAGGCCGTTTGACTGAGCATGAGTTATTTCACAAAGTTAGTATAGAAAGAGCCCAAAAGATCCAGTTGGCTAAATACAGAAGAACACAATATTTAGATTTTTTTTTTTTAAGGCAAAATGAGGCACCGACCCCCACTTGTTACCGTAAAATGTATTCTGAAGTTCCCATAGACATCAAAATTCTGCAGTAATTTCGTCTCAAAATCCCATTTAAACACATCGAAGTGACAAAAGACGAGGGTGATGTTTCAGGTCGGCGCCTCTGTTCATTACGTTTCACATTCCTCTGTTTACAGTACGAGAGTCCAGCACTAAGTTGGTCCTGAAACATCGCTAGCCTCACTCAGAAATCACAAACATTTACTTCATATCAGCAGCCACGCTGGTGAATTTCCATTTTTGCAGATGTTTTGTCGCTCACGCCGTGGAGGGGGAAGCTTAAGCTCGCATGTAAGAATGTGTCGTCTGCTGACATTTCCTCTTAGCTGTTCAACAGTTTGGATCAGATTTGACCGGTGTGTGTATTTTCCAAAGCCTCTTCCAGAAATGGGAGAGTGGCAGTGAAACGGCAGCAGTTTTTAGAGTTTGGGAGCAAGCGTGGCTGAGACAGAGTCATCTACAGATAAGAGGATGTTTAGAGGAGGAGGAAGTTCATCTTCAGTCTAACTTGTGATGGATTTATATGTTGTCCTCCGTTTAAAAAAGAAAAGACTTGAAGAGCAAGAAAATATCCCTTCTCTCTCATCTCCCCTCACATGTTTCAGATAGTCCAGTCCAGCGTTTTGTTCCCTCCCCCGTCTTTCTCACACGTCCAGCACAAAAACACAAACTGATCCTGATCCCTGCTCTTGTTTTCCTTTTGCTCCTCCTCCTCCATCTTCCGTCTCTTCATTCGTCTGTCTGTCTTTTCTCTGGAGCAGCTCCAGCTGCACAAGATTGGGAGCTGATAGGCTATTAATAGCTCCTGTAGTTGGGTCTCCATGGTTATGGCGCTGCAAGCCCAGGTGGCAGGGAGCTATTTTTGAAATGTGCTCCGTACTGTCAGTCAAACGACACTACGCTTTCATCCTGCCCCCCTGTCCCCCACTTCTTGCTGATCCAGATTTGGAAAATAATATATATATATTTTTTTTTTCTTTTGTTGCTTTTAAAATTAGCGTAAAGTTTTGTGGGTTTTTTTGTTGATTATGTATTTTTTTCTAATTCCACCAAATGTCTGTGAAATTAGAACTGCTGTCAGTTTTGTTTGCAGTGCTGTGCAAAACAACTCGAACCCCTTGAGCTTCTCCACATCGTCAAATTACAACCACAAGCTGCTTTGCTTTTTATACGGACAATAAGTGATGGACCAACACAAAGCTGAGCTGTGATGCTTAGCTTCACAAAAAATGCCGAATAGATCCCGTAGAAATATGGAATAGTCTAATTTCTGATTTGTCATGTTCTAGGAATGTCAGGACTTTTATTACCTTAAAGGTTAGTTTGCTAGTTTTTGCATAAGAGAAAACACAAGTCGTCAAAACATGTTTTTTTTTTGTTTGTTTTTTTCCAGCTTATATTTCCAATTTGGTAGAATTATAACGTTAAAAAAGTATTTTCACTTAGTGAAGTGGGAGAAAAAAGCTCAAACATGAATTTAATTATTGTGTATTATAAATGTATTTAGAATCAAAATCAACGGTAGTAAATATGCATAGGGGAGCTCTAGTTTTAGTATAAAAGGAACATTAAAGAGTTTAAGAATAAAAAATGCAATAATGAATGAAATAGATATCCAAAATAGCTGACTTAACCTAAGCAACTTGCATTAATGCAACTTTTAAAAAAAAAAATGTTTAAAAATGCAAACAAAAATCTCAAGAAACCTAGGAGGGTTTAACTTGTATATGTAGTGGAGACATATGCAAATATGTGTATTTAAGTTAAGAATCTGAGTTAGGACCTCCAAATTTACTTACAACTAAATAAGGCAGACGTTTCTAAGCCTTTGAGGGAACACCGTCAGGATGCAGCCATTATTTTAAGTTCAACTGGAGCGGTGAGGTTTCTAACCTCATCATTATGTATGCATGTTTGTGCCTTAAAATGAATATAATTTTCCTTACCCTGCTGTCCGTGTTTCCTCCCAGCTTTCTAGACAAGATCGACATTGTGAAACAGAACGACTACACTCCAACAGATCAGGTGGGTTATTAACACTTTTCTAAATGCTGGTCCATATTTTAGCAACAAAAATGTGGTGTTGCTGCCAAGCAATTCTCATCTGTGTCAGTGAGTTTATACATAAAGCTCCGTTTAAAGCATATATATTTTCAAGTTGAGGATCACCAATTTATTTGCAGAAATGTATAATCACACCAGTCCAGTCATATGGGGAGTTGCACTCAATTAAAATGTCAAATTCGACAACATTGCGTCATCTGTAGAGGGAGAACATGAAGCCATTGGCAGCAATAAATCCTCTTGCAGTAAAGCCTTTTTAATGTTTTGCTTTTCTCCCCCAGGATTTGCTTCGATGCAGAGTTTTGACTTCGGGGATCTTCGAAACAAGATTTCAAGTAGACAAAGTCAATTTCCAGTAAGTAAAAGTAACAAGAAGGTCCAGATTTATCTTTCTAGACATTCCTTACTGCATCGTGGAGAACATCAAGATGAAAACACCAGTTTCTGCAGACGAGGGCAGTGTTGCGCATGTTTTGAAGTCTCCATGCGTCTTGTTTGATCTTCACAGTATGTTTGATGTTGGGGGTCAGAGAGACGAGCGCAGGAAATGGATTCAGTGCTTTAATGGTAAGATATGTTCATTTCTCCTTCCTCTCACCTTACTTTTTTATTTTATAGTGTATGTGTAATTCAGCTTTTTTTTTTTTTTTTTTGGTCCACAGACGTGACGGCCATCATTTTTGTCGTGGCCAGTAGCAGTTACAACATGGTGATCAGAGAGGACAATCAGACCAATCGACTACAGGAGGCCCTCAACCTCTTCAAGAACATCTGGAACAACAGGTGATGGCAACAGAAAGTTCACTTTATCTTTTGCAAAGATAATATTTAGTGAAATATTTTAACTACATATTTGTCTCCTACTTGCTAGATAGGAGAGCCGATTTTTAATTTGGAGGATTCAGGATGTTCCAACTTTTTTTTTTTTTTTTTTCCTTTTTACATTTCTTTCTCTAACATATCCGAGCATTTTTTTGTTGTTGAATTGAATCTAAAAAAATGCTACAGTACAGATGGGAATAGTCTTTCTTAGACTAACGAGTCACTCAATGTATGATTAGAAATATTTGACTATGCAGCAGCGCATTTAATGTCTTTCTCAAGATCAATATTCAGGAATGTTGGAGGAAATGTTGGCACACGGTCACCATAAAATGACCTGGGAAAAGCTACAAATTTTCGTCCGGAATAGTTCTGAGTTTTAAAGCGGAGGTTGTGTGGGACTCTCGTCGTAACGCTCGGGTTTGTTTTGTCGTTGCAGGTGGCTGCGGACCATTTCTGTCATTTTGTTCCTAAATAAACAGGACCTGCTCGCAGAGAAAGTACTGGCAGGGAAATCTAAAATCGAGGAATACTTCCCCGAATTTGCTCGCTACACTACACCTGATGACGGTAAGGGGGTCGGAAACAGGCGCACACTTTGACTGGCTGCACAATGACACCTGAACAAATAAATATAAAGACCTATACAAATATAAAATACTTTTGTCTGTCAATATATTTTACCCAAAACTCCTTAGCTGGCATCTTTTTAATATATATATATATATAGATATCTATATATATATATATATATATATTTTAACCCAGTTCAAATTAACTAAAGGAATGCTTTCTTATTGCACTTAAACACTTAAAAAAAGGGCGTGAATGATTGTATTTCTGATATTGTATAGATAAGGCTTAGGTGGTTTAATAAAAAAATCTACAGAATGTGCCTATTTATTTATCCAATAATTGTCAGAATAACCAATAGATAAGTCGATTCGTAAAATAATCTTTAGTTGCAGCCTGAAAAAAAAATGCAAAAAAGCAAAGAGATATAATTTATCATAACCTGAATATGTGTTAGTTTAGATTTAAATATTATGTATTTTGAATGATGTGTAGTTAAAGTTGGCATAAATGCCAAAACCCTGAGGTAAAATAGTCACGGCAGGATTAGGAATTTGACTCTGGAAAGTATTTTGCATGACAGAAACGGTCGAGAGCTCAGGAGTGTCCCAGTCACTGACCAACGATGCAAATGTTAGTTTTCAAGTTGCCATGTAATTTAAACTTCTGCCATATTGAAACACTTGGAGACGTGTTCGTTGCACATAATGACCACAGTATGTACGACGTGTCAAAAGATGTTCTTCCACCCTGCCGTGCACACTCCTAATCCCCGTACGGTGGAAACCTCAGATAATCTGTGTTTTCTCTTTTGTCTGACAGCGACACCAGAACCCGGAGAAGATCCTCGTGTTACAAGAGCAAAGTACTTCATAAGAGATGAGTTCCTAGTAAGTCCTGGTGTTGCGCTTGAACTGGGAGTGATATTTTGAGTTGCTATGTATTTTGAATTTTGAAAATATGAAACGATGCCTTCAAGAAGAGGTCGATGACTTTGTGTCATTTTTCTCGCACCGCCTTACAGAGGATCAGCACAGCGAGCGCGGACGGGAGGCACTACTGCTACCCCCACTTCACCTGCGCCGTCGACACGGAAAACATCCGCAGGGTCTTCAACGACTGTCGAGACATCATCCAGCGGATGCACCTGCGGCAGTACGAGCTGTTGTGATGGGAACGCCAAAAAAAAAAAAAAAAAAAAAAAAAAAAAACTGGCCCCCTTTTAAAAACAGGAAAAGAAAAAAAAAAAAGACACTTAACACTGGGTCTCTGAACTCCCCTCTTCCACCGATGTGTGTTAGTGCCTGCTGCAAAAAAACGAGGCCAAAGTACACACACATGCAAACACACACACGCACACACACACACCTGTGCGGTAAACACACCATAAACCCAGAGCTTACCCCTGATGCAACGTCCCCATGTGATGTGGGATTTGATGAAGGGGCTTCAGGGGATGAAAAGAGAAGTAAAATAAAGACTCAAACCTCCAGCTTCAGCCATATTCCGAACTCCTCACCTTTTTTTGTTTTTTGTTTTGTTTTTTTAAGTCAAGTATTGTCCCCTGTCACCCTCCTGAGAGTAACCCAGTCTGGACAGCTTAGAGATTTTGTTACATCTACGTCGACGAAAACCAAGAGAGCTAAAAAAGAAAAAAAAAAAAAAACTTCTGGAAAGAGAACTGTTGAAATACTGCAAATAGAGAATAAATGTGTCACCAATAGATCAGCAGAACACTGTACCTAACAAAATAAATAAAAAAACTAAATGGAATTATAACAAAAAAAAAAAAACATTAAGAAAACACACACACACAAGCACTGTGCTCAGGACTTAACTTGAACCGTGTAACACCAAACCTTCCCGTCGCTCATAGACATCTTTGGGATCCGGCGCATCGGTCCTGCTTTCTGGACAGGAAGGCGGATCCTCCGCTCCGTCCTCAAGCCGCTGGGCTCTGTCGAGGTGCCAACTCCTTCATCCCGAGTGAGACTTTGAGGCTTTAAACAGATCGACTAAAACTGACGCTCGGGGAGGAGACGGGGAGGAGGGGAAAAGAGGAGCTGTTGGTGAGACGAAGCCGGGCTCAGGGCTCGCTGACTCTTCTTTCGGAGCCGTTTCGCCACCTCGTCGACAGCGGAGCCAAACTAAGGAGAACATGTTGAATTTAAAAGAGAGACGGAGAGAGAGACAGACGGAGGGGGGGAAAAAAGAGAAACAAAAAAATTGCCAACTTTTGTGGAATCAAAGAGGACTAGGCTGCATCCTCCAAACAGTACAGTACCGTATAAATTAACAAGAACTCTCATCCTGTTTTACTGTCTCCACAGCTGTTTTTGTCTGTGTAGACTTAGTGCCATTGTGCCCTGTGTGCTCATTCTTTATCTGTTTTGCCAACTCTCCATCCTTTTTTGTTTTTGTTTTGCTTCTCACCCCCTCTTTTGCTCTTCACCTCTTCCCATCTGCACCTTCCTCAGTGTTTTTGTTTTAAGTGAAAACTGAAATGTTACAACAACCCAGAACTTTGGAAAAAAAAGACAGCAACCCCCCCCCCCACACCCTACACCTCCTCCCACCCTGTCTTTTTTTTTTTTTGTATTCATGTGGTTAAACGCCCCGCCCGCCCGCCGCCTCCTGCCATTCCTCTCCCATCATTCCTCCCACTGACCTCTCCTGCTTCTTTGTACGTACGTCTTTGCTTTACTGCTGAACTATTATTCTTGTACAGACTGTAAAATGTATTATTTTGTACAACTTTATTGAAGAAAAAAAAAACAAGAATTAACTTTTAGAAGATCCCTGTGCCTTGATCACGACTGTACGTGTGTAATGAGCTAAAGTGGGTGTCATACTGCGCTGTATAGCTTGGCCAATCCTCCTCCCGACTCCTCACCATCCTCGCTTTTCTCTCCCCCTCTTCTTTCTTTAAAACCGCCCCTTTCTGTATCATCCCCATCTTGCTCTCTCTGTCCTCGCTTTTCCTCCTCAGAGACGACAAAAAAAACCATGTGTAGCTTTTGTAGTTTTTTTGTTTTGTTTTGTTCTCCCCCCCCCTCCTTCCCACCTCCTCCCCCAGTTCTCCCGTTATGATTTAAATGTCTATTTTTGGATCCATATACCCCAAAAAGATAAATATATGAAATGTATATGGGTTTAAAAAAAAAGTATTTTATTAGAATCAAATGAACCTTGACAAATTGTACACTTGATAGTGTGCGTATTGCTATAACTTAAATCCTTTCAACTGAAGTTGTGTTCGGGTTTCTTTTGTTTTTCTTTTATTGCAGAGAACGTTTTTTTTTCTTTTTCTTTTTTTTTTTTTCCAAAGAATGCACTGGAGGTGACTGATACCCGTTTCACAATACCTAAATGATAAAAAAGAGAAAAAAAAAACTATGACAAAAATAAATCGGTTTAGTTTGTTTTTGCAAAGCAAAGGCAGCCTGTACGTTATTGGTCAATCTGTGCCCTCGTCTTTGTTGAATGTACACGTTAAACCTGATTTCACTTTAAGGACAAACAGCTCTAATAAATAAAATTCTAAGAAATATGGCCTGCAGCTGTAGACGGCTACAGGCCGGTCATTTAACCCAAGAAGCACACGCCACTATTTTCTGCTCTCACCACCTGCATTTGTCGTTTTTGCCATTATCGCTTCATTTTGATCAGTTGGGAGGGATGTCGTAAATCCGTGCCCGGGGAAGTGAAGTTTCCCGTTGGTTTACCCGAGGTTTCCTCTTCAGATACAGAGTCTGTTTATTTCGGCTGGCATCGATGCAAAGTGCATCTCTGATGGGAGCAAAGCAAGTTGTGGAGCACAGCGCTATCCCCAGTAACTGCGTTCAAAGGTTTCACTGGTGGTTTCCGCAAAGAAAAATTCAATTATTTCAGCAAATCGTCTTGAACCACAGCAGCATGAACCTGTGTAACATATTTCACAATATATTTGAATTTGTTTTATGGGAGAGTGGTGGACAATATTTAGGTGCATCTCAAGAAATTAAAAAAATCAAAGTACATTTATTCCGATATTTCAGTTCAGAAAGTGGAACTTTTATAGATTAATTACACAGAGATACATTTCTGTGTTTTATTTAACTTTCTTTTGATTTGTAGTTTCTGACAATACTTTCATTTTATGGAAGAATAGACAACTTTCACTCCCGACCCCACTAAGGGGCAAGGGCGTAAAGAAAATGGGTGGATGGATGTATAGACAACTTTCACAAGTCGGGTAAGCAGCAAAAATTTATTGTCAGAGAATCAGAGTTTTGTAACTAAATTTAATTGTGGAAAGTTAAGTGGAAGGAAAAGGTGTGAAAGAATAAATGTCAGCTGCTGGAGTCTGTAAGTGCTGAAACGGAGACAAAGTCAGAAGCTTCCACTTGGACTGACGGCAATGGCAGGATTGTTGTTCAGTGGTTCAAAGTTGTTTTTTTTTCAGCTGAAAATAAACTTTGTGTTTCATCATGACCCCAGAATCGGGATGGAGAAGAAGAGAGAACAAGTTGCTTGATGTGCAATATGAATTTTCCACAGGTTGATTTTATCAAGGTAAAGGTTGGCACAGCTTTCTACCAAGTAGTTTTATAGTGTTTTATGCTTCTCTCTCCTTTTTTTTTTTTTTTTTTTTTTTAAAACTTGGATTAAGTTTTTTTTTTTGTAAAATTCTAAAAATGGGATTTTAATCATAAAATTAAT